TACCCCCTGCCACCTGTCCTCTTTGCTTCTCTTTTGCTTGTTTCTCCCAGTACTTGTCCCCTCCCCATACCTGCCTCCCAGGGCTTTCCCCCACTGCCTGTCCTTCCCCAGTGCTGTCTGCCCCCCCTCACCACTTGCCCCCTTCTGGTGTTTCCCTGTTGCCACTTACCCCCTCACTTTCACGCATCTCTCCACCCCCCCGCTTAGCCCGTGCCATTGCTCTGCCTTCTCCCAGGGCACAGAGCACTTGACTTGGCAGTAGCAGCAGATCAGGTACCAGCCCAGGACAAGCAATACCGGATCATGAGAAAAGCCCAGGGGATGGATGTTTGGTTCAGGGAGGGGAGATGGGGGACATGGAGCAGAATGAAGAGTGCAGGGGAAGGGATGTGTGGTGCAAGGGGGCTGTGGGCGAGGGGGTATATGGGAGAGCACAGGGCAAGGGGTGTGCATTGTAAGGGGGAGGACACAGTGGCAGGAGAATTGCTGTGGTTCAGTGCACCTCTTCCCCTGCACTACATGCCTCCTTCCCTACTGCACAAATTGGCCAGGCCAAGGGCAGGCAGCTTCTCTGATTCTGGCCCCTAGTAGAGCTTCATACCCAGCCTCTTCTCCAATTCCTCCCAAACTGACAAGCCAGCTACACTAAAGCCTTGCTTGTACCATACATTTACCTGCTTCAGCCCAGCCCAACATCCAGCCCATTTCTATAGTTCAAAAGCAATACTTATTCATATTTCTTTCATTCAGCAGAAGCCTCTTCTCAGTCCACCATTAAAAAGCCCTAAAATCAACCACTAACTCAATCACATGCCTTCCCTCCGTAACCTAAAACATCCCTAGAATTTCCAATACCATATTATACTTAGTTTGTTTCACTCTGGGTAACTACCACACAAGAACAGTGACAGACAACAATATATTTACCTTAAATCAGTCCACCCTACTCGTATTAATGTAGTCTCAAAACATATTGAAATAGGCTTGCACCTCAATTTTTATGTAGAGCATTTTTTAAATAGACACGCTCATATAGTGGGTTACAGGTATGTGGTAAACATAAGATGTGCCATATTGGGTCAGACCACACTACCCTGTAGTCTAGCCCACTATCCTGTATCTCACAGTAGCAAAGAGTAGATGCTAAAGAAATAGCATTTAATCAGGGCATATTCAGGCAGATAGGACTCCTGTCCTCCTTTTTACTAGTTTACAACACATTACCAATGCATTACACATTAAAAAACAAATAACTGGCTACAGCACAACTGACCAAATGTTGGATAATTAAAAAACATGCTTCTAGTTCTAATCACTCTTTTCCCTTGTTATTTTAGTGTGTCACTGGAAGAAGACTATGACAGAGGCTCCCTTATGTGCTGTTATTCAGTGGCTGCCATTTTGGCCATTTGGGGTCACTGACAGCTGCTATAAATTAATAGATTTCAAGGCTAGGAGGAACCGGTAATTATGACCAGCCTAACCTCCTGCATATTTCGGTCACAACCAAATATGTGCATTATAAGTCCATTACTTCTGGCTGAGCTAAAACAGATATATATGAAAGGCATCCAAAACTGTATTTAAAGTGTCCAAATCCATTACTTCTTCAGGTAACTGCTTTCATTGTAATAAAAAGCCTCATACTTAGTCTGAATTTTTCTAGCTGTAGCTCCTAGCTTTGCATCTTTCGTACAACTGGCACCATGTGAAGTATGACCAAACTCTTAAGAAGTGGCTTTGTAGGACTTGTAAGTCTTGAAAAATGCACAAGTAAATGTGAAAAAGTACTGTGCTATCTGGGTTCCCCTTGACATGCTCTGCAGACCCATATATATATATATAGTACCCTTTCTTAAAGAGATGTACCAGCTATCAGAGTAAGGGACAGAATTAGTTTGCTCTGGTTACATTAGCTCCACATTCCTATTCTTTCACATTATTTTAACTTAAAATTAATTTAGAATTTAAAAATTTTCTAATCTAGCTACATTAAACTGCAAATTTTAGTTTTGATAAAGATTTTACCAAACATTACTTATGAAAATTTGCTACAGTTTTTAAAAATGATGTCTGAGAATTTCCTTTTATAGTTTATACTGTAACTTTTGTTCATGTGACACAGTTTCCCAGATCCCTCTGATCAGGCCAGGGAACATATTAATTTGGCAGAAGAGTTTTAGTTAAAGTTGTAGTGTGCTTAAGAAACATGCTGAAATAAGGCTACTTTCTGAACAACTTATGAATGAGAAAAAGAGTTTGTACAATTTGTGCAGTTTATGCACTGCTGGACCAAGTTTCCCTCCCATTGAGTTTATTAAACAAAGCTGTCAGTTCCTTTGCAGATTTTATATCTTGAATAGTAGGTATTTCTTGATCAAGTAATTTTACTACTTATTTGCTCATTACCCCAAATTAAATCTACTGCTCTTTTAAGGCATTATTTCTCATACCCTCTAGCACTTAAGTGCCCTATGACAATTTTCTTTTTAATTAAATCAGAATGCTTACAAAGACAGACGCCTGGACTTATGTGTTAGTAAAGAAAAGAGTTCCACTCTAAAAAGGTGCAATCAAGAGGAAATTTTATATAACACTGCAAGTAATAAATTATGCATAGCAAGCCCAAATCCAGAATTATAATAATATTATAGAAAATACACCAAAATACTGTTCAAGGAAGGATTCATTACAGAGTTAAGGTATTAGCAACAAAGTCTCAAACAGAAGCGAAGAACAAAACTGAAGGAAAGGCCTTTCTGTATTAAGCATGTATTGACTGATCCTGAAAGGTCAGGGTTGACCTTAGAAAACATGGGCATCAAGTCCACATTTATATTTAAGTAAATATCACCAATTAAGGCCATCTTAATTTAAATACGTAAGCTATAAACAACACATAACTTATATGCACTCCCAGATACTTCATCACAAGAAATTCCCTGTTTCCAACATATAACCAACCACAATACACCCAAAGTCCTTTTTTCTGGCTTAGACCTCCACCTTAATTCCAACTGCAACTATGTATCTGTAAACATGTAGAGGCATATATTTATAAATGAAATCTGTTATTTTTACATGAGAAAGTATGAAGCATGTTTGAGCATGACCCAGAAATTTGATGTGGGCATTGAGATTGGTTATACCTTAGAAGTACTAATGAGTTGGTGGTAGAAATGAGGAATGAGTACATTTGGTTAATCTGGTAGGTATGAAGAGGGTTTTCCAGTATACAGAAGAAAATAATGTTTGTACTTGGGTGATGTTTCTCTTCTTGTCCACAGCTTTATCTACAATACATGGTTCACCATGAACAGGGACGGTTGGCATGCAAGTGGATAGAAACCCTGCAGGGCATCAATGTAGGTAATACAAGGCTCTATTTAGATGGAAGAACCACCCTAGGACTTTAAAGAAGTGCTCTCCTGCCAGGGAATATATAAATTCAATATGAGCACTAGGTGAATAAAGACAATAGATCAGAAGCAAACTAAACTTAAGACTTTTCAATATACCATCAGACCACTCTTTCAGAACTTCCTGTGGGTAGAATTTTTATTAGGGTAGGAATTTTTTCCCCTGAACAATTGACTTAAAAAAAAATCCATCCCAGGACACACAAGTTAAGTTTTAAATAAAAGAAAGTAATCTGGAGATTTATGTGCGTTACCTACAATAGGAAAGATCACAATGACTTGGAGAATATCAATTCATTTCACAGTTTGGTGGAGAATAATCTTTTTTTCCTGCAAAGTTTTCCAAAAATAATTTGGGATACTAGCCCACATGGAAGAAAACAGCGTAAGTTATTTTTCAGTTGAGAAACCAAGCCATTTCTGTTTAACAGTGTTCCAAAAATATGTATATCTGACAAACAGATTGAAGGATTAACCCCCTAAAGTTTTCTCAGAGAGAATTAATTTTTAGCAAAAGACTGCACATAAGAAATTTAAGTTAGATTAGTTTAGTTTCTATAAACTGTAGTGCCATGGTGAATATCAGCATTAAAATGGAAAGCTAGCTACTGTATAACTTAGCTATGGACTATTTAAATAGCATTTAAAGTTAAATTAGAATGCATGTACATTCTAAAAAGTGAACTGATTATTTGCAGGTTTTTTGTTATAACATTGCTATTTTTCACATCAAGATGACAAAACTGTAAATTCAAGTTCAGTTATATGAGCATATTTCAAGGTTGATATTTTTATACAAGTTCAAAATAAGCCAATTTGTAAGCTATGGAGAAGAATCATTGCAGTTCTACCAAAATTGGCAGTGGGTGAGGGGGGAAGTGCAGTTATACCAAGGAGAACAGAAAAGTGAAACTTGTTCTCCTCAGCTTCTTGCCTTCTTTTTGTCCATGGCTGGAAGCAAACAAGCTTCTCTAAACTGGTTTGATGGCTCAGCAGAAACTAGGCAGAAGTAAGGAAGCAAGAATAAATATAAAGCAGCATAAATCAAATTACCATTATGGAAAAAGCAAACAAACAAAAACAAAACCTAAAATATCGCCCAACATCTAACACACTGATTGTCAACCAGGGTGTTTGAGAGACTTTCAAGGGTGCCATGAGGTACCACACAATGTTAGCACGGTTAGGTTTGTCAGCATGATTCACAAGATGAACTGTTTCGAATAGGAATACATAGTGTTAAAACCATTCTGTCCAGCCCAGTTGTGGTCTTTGATATCTTGGCAACAGAAGAATTGTTCTATTTTCTGTAATCAAAAATCGAGTGAAAACTAAGAGCTGGTATTTTCTGAGGGGTGCTGTGAGTCTAACAGGTGCCTTCTTCAGTCTAAGAAAGTTGAGAACCACTGATCTAGTACCTGAATGTTTGTCCTACCACCAGTCTCCTGATTTTATATGGTCAGCAGCCATTTTTATAGCTGAACTGTGGTAGGAAAGCTAGAGTTAATGTATACAAGGATGAGGGAATGTCCTTGAACACTGGCATGTGTCCTTGAACAGTGGATAGCACACTTGGATAAAGCATCATAGAAATGTAGGTCTGAAAGGGATCTTGAGATCATCTAGTCCATTCCCTCGCTTTAAACTGTGATCAGATATGCCTAGATGAGTGGTCCTTAACTTTGTTAGACTCAAGGCACCTATCACTAGAATCAAGGCATCCCCTTTGGAAAATGCTACCTAGCTCTTAGTTTTTACTTTATTTTTGACTACAACAAAAATTAGAGCAATTCTTTGGTTTTGAAAAACTCAGAAAGACCACAAAAGGCCAGAATGCTTTAAACATTATGGATTCCTATTTGAAATCTCAGGGTTTATTTTGTGAATCATGTTTCACATCTAACAGTGCTAATACTATGTGGCACTCTGCAGCACTCCTAAGAGGATCTCAAGGCACCCTCAGGTGTAGTGACACCCTGGTTGAGAACCCCTGATATGTCCAACTAACCTCCAGTTAAGGAAATTCCACAATCTATCACTAATCTCCAACTAAGGAGGGTCTAATGAAGGAGATCCTATGACCTCCTTAGGTAGTCTGTTCCAGTATTAGAATAGATTAGGAAGTATTTTTTAGTATCTGACTTAAATTCTTCTTGCTGCAAATTTAGGTGAGATATTTGGAAAACCTGTCTAACTACAAGGGTGGGGAAATGTTACATGTGTTAAATCCGATATGAAACACATGACAATGTTCCAGGAACAATCCCTTATCCGTGGTACTCAAAGTTTAACTCTAATCTTCACTTCATCTTTCATAATGTAGATTAATTATACAGTTGAAAAATTGAGCTTCATTATAAGGGTGAGATTTAACAGAAAGTAGGTACAGAACTAGTGTCAGTTGAGCACCTTGTACTATTATAGTATGCCTTGACATAAGCATTAAAAGGCCAGGCATAAAAAGAGATACTATACCACTGATGCATGTTCTAGTCTGTAGCCTTCCACAGTGCCCTTGAGCAAGTCACAAGCTCTTCTTGCACCTCACTTTCTTCATCTATAAAAGGATAGCCATAGTATTTATCTCAGAGGTGGTGTGAGTTTCTGAAAGAGTTTAAGATTATCTCAGGAGTTATAGAAATTTCAAGTATTATTTATTATTAGAAATGCCAATATGTGTACCAAAACTGTACCTCCAGAACCGGTTTAGTAAACAAATAGGATGTGGGAGAAAGTTTAAAACACAGCCCCAAAAACCCCGCTCCCTTCTTAAAGTGATGTTCCCTTCTTGTCAGAGGGCTTTGGAGTCTTCATTCAGTATAAGTATGACTTTGATGGGAATGCCTTATTTTCTCTGCAAGTGGCTTGTTGTTTGGAAACAATACAGGTCATAAATATGAGGAATGTGAGATAAAATAGATTAATTTCTATGCTAGATTGTGCCTGTGGATCTCACATGCTCAGTACAACGGTCTTAAAACAACTGTTAAATCAGCATTCTGTAATAAGTATGTCATCCCCAAGCAGCTGAAGTCAGGAGATCCCAAATTATGGTACCAAATAGCTAGACTAAGGACTATGTAATAACCAAACTGGTTGAGGGTTACAGAAGAACTGAACTGCTACTCTTGGTTTGATTAATCATGCACAAACATGTTAACATATTTATGTAGAGGCACTTAACTGCCATGTTATCAGAGGATTTCCATCTGAAACAGTTTAACATGTGTCTCTACCTTAAACCAAAAATGTATCTACAGTCAAAATAAATATATGTTTTTAAAACACAGTTTCTTTCCAGATTTATTTAGCACAAACCATATTCAAAAAGGCTTCAGGCAGTAAATACCATGATTCAGGTATAAAGCTAATTTTCTACCATGACAATAAAGATTTAATATCTATGGGCTGCTTGTGGGTTTTTTTCGACCCTTTAATTTTTCCCCCTCATTTTAAAATAGACTTAAAATAGGATTAAAATTTCATCTTAGATTCCCAATGTCATATATGACATTTTCCCCAATTAAAAAAAAAAATCACATTTTATAAACACAAAATGCTCTTTTCAGACTGCGTAGATGTGAAAAGAAAGCTACACTTGTCTGGTGGAAATAGCCTGCCTTTAGCCTTCCTACACACGAGAAGTGTGAAAATCTTTCACTTGCAAATATTTACAGAAGACTTAGGGCTTGATCCCACAATCCTCATGTGAATCTGGTACAGCCATTTATAGGAGACAGGGGAGACAGCTCACGCGAATGTGTGCGTTTGTTAGGATTCTGCTGGATCAGGCCTTAAGTTTAAGTGCATTACACAACATTTTAAGGTGACATATCAAAAAATCTCATAATGAAATTATTGATTTTTTCAAGAATGCAGAAGTAACACGCAAGATTTACATACAGTAATAATTTATTTCTGAAATGTTCATTTTAGTTTCTGTTGAGACATCACCCATGTCTCATTAATAAAAGAGCAGCCATCTCACCTCAAATACCAGAATATACAACAAGTTACAGCATAGCAAAAATTCTACCTACTTTCAGATAAAATCTAATTCAGATAAAATAATTTTGTTCAAGATTTTACAGTTACACAGACTTCCTTTTTTGCAGAGCACAAAGAAAGTGTAAATTGTTACACCATAGCTATCTATGCACATTATGTGACCACAGAATTGTTAATCATTACTTCAGAAAATGAACCATCAGTTTCATTCATGCAGAAAAGCAGGCTGGGAAAGCTTGTTCAGCAGAAACCATATTACTGTGAATTTCACAGCCACATGATTAATTATAGGGTTAGATGGATTCACAAATACTAAAACTGAGTATATTTTTTGCATAAATAATACCAATTTTTCCCTGATGTAGTTTAGTCAGTCTGTAATCTAGAAATGATTGATACAGCAATATATCTGTATTACTTCTATCTGTTGTGTTCATTATTTCCAGACAAGCAATATTTAAAGGATCATGGGATGGGATGCTAATTAAATACATGTAAAACATACTGTACAAATATACTTGCTTTAGTGATTTTATTCCAAACTATCAATCAGGTACCCTCCAAAATATTACCAGTGAAGACAAAGTATACTATCAAATATGGCTTCCAGAACAAGGACCCTCTACAAGAATCAAACCTATATACAAAAAAAAATAAAAACAAAATTAAACCAAAAACCCAACTTCCCCCAAGTCTTTTAAAGTTTCATTTGAAACAAAATTTCTACATAACTGTTGTAAATAATACATCAGGTTTTCTTTTATTCCAAAATGTATTTAAACAGAAGTCACCAGGTAAGACCCAGAATGACGTTTTGGACTCTGAGTTCCACTAGAGTCTGTATTTTCAGTCTTTGAATCTCGCTTCTTTGTGCTGTTATTTACTGGGGTTGGTATCTGGGATGGTCGAGCAGAACCATTATCTGCACTGCTCTTTCTAGGACTTGGATTGTAGTTGAAAGGAGTCACTCTTGCTGCAACAGCTCCACTAGGAGAGCTGTGTTTGCTTGAGCCACTGGAACTGAATGGTGTACGTTCACTAACAGTGCTTTCGTTGGTCTCTGGTGCAGGAGGGGGGTTATTCAGCACAGGTTTTGTTTCAGTTCCCTTCTTGTCTGGACTGTCTATTTGAATGAATGAATTCAGGCGGTTTTCTAACCCAATGGTGCGGACAGGAACGTTTCCTGCATTTTGTTTTTCCTGAACCTCTTTAGAATCTTTACCATTAGCATTCCCCTTCTCTGAAACACTGTCAATAACTGGGGGGGTATTTCCTGTGGGTGATCTTCCAGATCTAGGATTATTAATAGGGCAGTCTTCAATCCTCACCCAGACATCCTCTGTCTTAGACACAGCAGGTGCCATCTGGTAAATTAAAGTTTTTGTATCAGCACCATTTGTAGCACCTGAGGAGGAATTCTGGGCAGGATTATTCATTATCTGAGGAATTTCATTTTCCTTTATTTTCCTCCAAGTCCCTTTTGCTGGTGCTTGACTTTCTTTAGTTTGCTTGTGTCCAGAAAAAGTACCTCCATGTTGCTTTTCATCTTCACTTTTTGCCTTTTCACTGGATTCAGAAGAAGCAGACAGAATTGAGGAAGAACTACCAGTTCTTCGCCAAGTGCTTACACGGGGAAGTGATGAAGAATGCTTACTGTGCTCGCGCTTCCATGTCCCTGATCTATTGATTGGTAGTCTAGATGGGCTCTCAGAATGAGAACGAGCGATATCATGACGTTTTGCTGGCCTCCCATCATTATACTCTATAGAAGGACTCAGGTTAGGGGGTAATTTTCGCCAACCACTAGTCTGAACAGTTGAATGAGTGGATAAAGACATATCAGGAAGTGATGGACTTAAAACTGGGGTCTGTATTTGGGATCTGGTAGGAGAATCTGGTCTAGGAGGAGATAGAGATTCAAATGAAGCAGACTCTTCTAATTTCCTTCTAAGTGTTGGACTTGGAGCTTCTTTAATAAAAGTTGACTGGCGCACTAATACAGGTCTCTCCGATCTATCAGATTCACTTCCACTGGACTTTGTGGATGACATTCTAGATATTTCAGCTTTTTTGTTTGATCCACTGCTACTAAGAATTTGATTTAATCCTTTAGAAGCAGATTCACTTCTGGGAATGCCACTGGCACTTTTAGGTAATCCTGTCTGCTTAGCAAGGTTTTGCTGGCTCATCTGTCTGCCTGGTGATGTGTATGACATTCTTCCTGAACCTGAGGACTTAGTTGAAGCTGTACTGGGGGACGATGTCCTTGGCAGCTGGGACAGTTTGTTAGGAGGACTTATACCATTTCTTCCTGGGGAAATTGAGTTTCGACCTGGAGATTGCAGAGGTCTGCTTAAGGGCTGCTGTTGAGGTCTGGAAGGAGTGGAATCTCTAGATCCTGACCTTGAAGGTCCTTTACTTGATCCACCCTGTTGAGATGGCTGCCTGGTTATAAGACTTGGCTCAGTCTTCACTGTTGATTTAGCTCCTCTTGGGGAACTAGTGGAACTCTGGTTTTCATTGGGACTTTTGGAGCTGTTATTTTTGAGTGGAGGCCCTTTCTTGGCAACTGGACTTGTACTTGAGGAGCTATTTCGAACTCCTGGAATATGAATCATTGTTCTACCTCGTGAAATTGAAGGCATATTTGTTTGCTGGGGCTGCTTCAACTGGCTTGAAACTTCTGAATTAGAGCGAACCTTCCCTGTAATCATACTTTTATAAACTTTCTTTCCTCCTTTAATTCCTTTACTTTCAGTTTCAGTTTTCTTAGTTTCCAATGTACTTTTCTCCCCTGGCTTAAGAATTCTTGGACCTTTATTACTAGTAAAGGGCTTTTCTTCTTGGTCTGGTGTAAGATGAAAGGGTGAGCCTAAAGAAATGCCTGATTTTAGTGAAAGAATGGAATCAGAGTCTGATGAAGCTTGTCTAGACAGTGAAGCAGCAGCAGCAGCTTGGTGTAAGCTGCTAACTATAGAATTTGCACCTTCCTGAATAGCTTTCCAATCAAAGTTCTCTGAATCAGGTGAAAAACCATGCTCTGAATCAGGCCTTTGAATATCTCTCAAATCAAGGGTCAGATCTTCTGCTAATATGCCTCCCATATTTCTAGAACTATTCTTTTCACCTTCGCTTTTTATTCTTGAGGGTTTTTTCTTTTTGGGCATGGCAGAACTAATACATTCCTGCAGAAGGTCATCTTCTGAGTCAATACTAAGGGAACTTAAGGAGCTGTTTCTAGAAAAACACACAGGTGTATCTTCAACATGAAATGATTTGGGTGCATAACCAGAAGCTTGCGGTCTGCTTGGTTCCATCTGTGAATCAGGAGCTTCAGTCCGGTTTGTAGGTTCACTTTCCTTGTTGTTGTTGTTTTCTTGATCAATATCGCTAAGAGAACTCAGAGATGAATTGCGAGAAAAACAAACAGGGGTATTTTCAATAGCAAAATTCTGCATTTTCTCATCTGTAGCTGCTCCTCTGTCTGGGATCTCTTTGGATGACTGTGGGAAAGTTTTTGGCTGATTTCTGCCTGGTGGGTGTTTTTGACAAGCTTGTGACCTATTAGTTGACTGCTGATTTGAAATCTGTTCTATATTGGTACACTCTTTTGTTTCTGTTTCCTTAGTTTCTTTTCCTTTTCTTAATTCTGCCTTTTCCCTAGAAAGGTCAACATCATCATCATCAAAGTCTAGCGAACTTAGGGAATCGTTCCGTGAAAAACAATAGGGAGTCCCCTCAATAGGTGTGTAATGATGAGGTGAATCAAATGCAAAGCTTCCTCTTACACGTTCCTCATTATTTGGAAGCTTATCGCTGAAGTCTCTTGAGTTATTTTTGAGGTTCTGTTTCTTTGCATTTTTGTTGTCTGAATAACTTCGTTCACTACTAACATTACTTTTTGGCTCTGTGTTTTTTCTTATGCGTGCTCTGTACTCATTAGTTTGAGGCATAGGCTTTACTGGTGATGTCGGCTTCTTTTTCTCACCATCTGGTTGGTTTTTACTAGTTAGAGATGAAGATGCTTGCTGAATTTGATCCATTATCTTCTTCACCCTAAAAGGCTTGTGGCTTTTTCCTTTTGGCATAGCAGAGTTAATGCACTCCGCAAGAATATCACCTTCTTCTGTCTTGTCATCATCCAATCCTGAGGTAGTTGCAGTTGAGTTTTTCCCTCTTTGAGCATCATCTGTACTTCTGCCTTCCGTAGGAATAGTATCTCTCTTTTCAAATTCACCTGACTTGGTCCCTGTACCCACATTTTCCAAATTGGCCAACTCATTTGGTGGCGATTCTATTGTGAGATCACTCAAAGATGTAGCAGTTGAAAAATTTATTGGTGTACCCTCAACACAGTACACTCGGGGCATATCATCTCCAGGTGTAAAACTAACATGTTTTTGAGACTGCATTCTGTTTTGTGAAGGGAGAAGTTTGTACACTGGCAGCTGGCTTGGCTTCCTGGCTACAGGAGGAGGTATTTTTGAAGCAGTAGTTTGAGAAGGCTTTTTGGCTTTGCGTGAAGATTTTGTTGGCATTGCAGATATAATACACTCTTCCAATATTTCAATGTCATCGTCATCAGAATCATCTAGTATATCTTTTTCTGTTTCAGTGGGTTTCTCAGTTTTCTTCTCTTGGTTATCCTTTGTATCATCTGGCTGTTCAGGTTCTGTTTCATTTCCATGCTCATTTTCATGTACAGGAGGCATTATTCTTAATTCTACATCTTTCGGTATAAATGGCTCATCAAGACTCAGAGCACTTAGGCTGGATGAACATGAAAACCCATCTGGTGTACTTTCTGTAGCAAAATGTAACAAGGTATCAGCATCTGGCAATACCTGAACTCTTTGAACCGCTGCATTTACAGCTGCCTGTCTGGGGCCAGATTCTCTCTTCTCAGCATTAGATACTTTGCCTTTAGCTGTTTCCCTCTTTACCTGAACTGCTTGAGCAGGTGGTGGTGTTTTACTCCTACTTGGTGGCATTGTTTGTCCAGGGCTATCTGGAAGGTCACTGGGGCTTATAATACCACTTACCATTCCACTGCAAGGCTCACTTTGAACAGAACTAGCAATTGAACGGCTTTCAAAACTATCCAGGGAACTTACAGAGGTACATCTGCTAAACATAAGTGGAGTCTCCTGCACATAATGTTCTGGTGGGCTTTTTGGAGTCTGAGCACCACTTTTTGAGGGAGATTTGGCACCTGAAGAAAATTCAACAGCTTTATGTCTAGATGAATCAGAGGGAGATAAACTAGAAGTCTGAATTCTATTGGATTTTGTTCTAATATGTTGTGTTGTTGATGTGACTTCACTTACTGTGCCTTCAGTAGATAGAGGCCCACTACTTTCTTTTAGTTCTGCTATTTGCAGAGTGTTATTTGCATCTGTTACACGGGTGGCTTGATCACGTCCTATTTCATCTTCTGCTGATGACAAAGATGACAAAGAGCTACATCGTGAAAAGCATATTGGTGTATCTTCCACACAATAAGTCTGTATGGTTTCCTGATTGATGGAAGGAGTTTTACAGGAAGCAGACTTCTGAGCATGACCCCCTCTACTCTGTGCAGAACTTGGATGAAGCTGGTTCTGTCTCTTTGAGCTGGCTGAAGCAGTTGACGTGTTTCCACTACCTGATGAGATATGATCAGTTTTAATGCTCTGTACAGATGAACTTTTTGAAAAAGAGAAAGATGGCTTCTGAGACGATGGAGGGACTTCTGTTGAGTATTTCAGACTATAATCAATAGGCTGATCTACATGATGTTCCTCTTCATTGTACTTTATACTGTAATTAGTTGGTCTGTCTTCTTCATCTTCATCCTGTTCCTCCTCAGAATAACGCTCACTGTAGTTGGTTGGCTTATCATCATCATAATCATCAACCTGGCACAAGGACTGGTTTACTTTTTGGTTCATTCCAAGAGTAGAAGCTACTCTGTTTTGTTCAGAACTGTTGGAACCTCTTGATCTGAAAGGAGAAACACATTCTTGCTGTCCAAAAGGTGACTGGTATTTCACATGCTTATCATCACCACTTTCAGTGTATACAGGATAGGATGTATTTTGACTTCTTGACTGCCTTTGTTCATTTTGTTTTATTTCATCTTCTATTATATGTTTAGGCCTCGCCCATCTTTCATTCTGTGAGGGGCTCTGCCTTCCAGAGTTCAACTGTTCATCTGAATATTTAAGACTATAATTGATAGGGGTGTCTAGTTCTCCGTCATTGTCATCCATATGATTTGCGCTATGTATCTTATGGGCTAAATCAGCTGGATATTGTCCATAACTGCAAAACTTACTTTCATCATCTTCAGAGTAAGATTCAATGGAAGGTTTCATTTGACCTCTTTTGCCATAGCCATCACTGCTACTGACACTATTTAAGCTATCATTTGAAGCTCTTTTATATTCCATTTTTGCATAAGGCACAGGACACGTCCTGTTTGAATTCTCAGATTTAGGAAAATTATAAGTAGTTGAATGTGCATGGGCAGTGGATGTTCTTCTTAGTGCATTTCTATCTTCTGTCAAGCAGTGCATTTCAGATGTGGATCCAGAACTTCTGTCTTCTTGTGGAATATGCATATTTGTTACTTCTTCCATTACTTTGGCGATTTGAGCTGCAGCAGTTGAGATTGGCATTCCTATTCGCTTGGAAGAATTCCCAGTGCTTTCTGCAGCTGTGTGATAGCTGTTTAATCCCATTGCTCGCTCTCTGTCTAAACTTCTGTCCTTTTCCGACCGAGAGTTTTCTATATTTCCTCTGTTGGAAGAGGAGGAGCCAGGCAACACTGTAGTATTTAAATATGGTGAAAGTACAGTCATGTTACCGGTATTAAAACTCTCTGACCTGCAAATTCCATCGTCATGTCGATTAGAGTCCAGAACATATTCACTATACAGATTTTGCTTATGTCTCTGCTTGTTACGGTGAGATGTTTTGGGGCTTAAATTATCAATGTTGTCAAAAGTCTCTGATAAATGCTGAGCATCTAACTCTGCTTCTAGTGCCTTTTGCTTTCGAACATGAAGAGATGGCAAGCTTGAACCTGGAGACATAATATTGGCATCCTTATATTTTGCAGGTCTGTTTGCCATCAGGTTTCTTAAAGCTGCAGCACTGCCCATAGCTATCATTTTGTGCTTCGAATGAATGAGGTTTTTGAGCATGCTAACTGCTCCCATGTCCCACAGAGCTTCTTGATCCTTTGCATTCCGTGCAGAGAGGTTCCACAGGGTCCCACATGCATTGCTGACTATTGTCAAACTGTGTGACTTCAAGTGCTGTAGTAAGGTTTGCAAGCAGCTGTTCTCTCTCAAGATCTGCCTGGAATTAAGTGGAAAACTAAAATCAACACATGCCATTTCCAAAAGATGAAGGCCAAACACAAGCATATCAAACTAGCTGCAGCTAAATTTAGTGCTTGATTAAGATAATTAGTTTTAATTTCTACAGCACAAAAGTATTTCACTTTGCTAAAATCATAACCTAAATGCTAATTATATTCTACTACAGTTCTCAGTTTCTTTTCCTCTGACACCTCCCTCTTCTGTGTAGACTGCCATTTTTTCCAGCTGGTTTTCTCTGGCTGGAATGACTGATGAAAGCTTCCAGAAGAAGCCAGTGTTACTACTTAGTGTTTAACAAGCATAGCAGATGCTATTTTTTCCAAGTCTTTTTTACAGACAACTGTTACCCAAGGGAACTGTTTATCTTACCAAAACCATCAAAAATAAAATCAACCTTGACTGCGCTACTTATTTGGAATGTAGACTCATGTTGGAACTTTTTATGAGCTCTCTTAAAACAGATTTCTGCTACAGAATTTAGATAAGACTAGATGGCAGATTTACCTGTGGTCCTCATTCGTAGCAATCAAGCTAGAAACATTCCGTAGTATTCCTCCTCCGCTTTCAATGATGGCTAAAGTATTTGTTTGGCTCCGGTATGTTAGTGTGCCAACTAAAAAGGCAAGAGCACCATCCACAGCACATATATCAGCTTTATTCTCAGTGCAATGTGCTGACAAATTCCATAAGGCACTCAGTACACTTTTTAAGGTGGATTCCTATGAAGAGAGGAAAAAATTATATGGAATTAGACCGAGGGTTTTCAGCCTAGGGTCAAGAGTGCCCAGAGAAAACTGTGAACAAAATATAAACAGCATCAATGCCTGCTGGAATCTTCAGACAGCCTAAAGCCACAGCTTTAAGAGGAATGAACTACCTCATCAATTTCAACAAATCCTAGACGTAACACAGCTCAGCAACCATAAAAGTTTAGCATTTTCTTTTAATCTGCTGCAAACTTTGTAACAGAATTTACCATTTTGCTGCACTTGGGTATCTAATATTTTGTTCTCTATCTTCCTGCAGCTGGTACTATTTCTCCAGATTTTCCCCACAAAATTTGATTTACATACAGCAGGTCTACTGTTACCACCCTTACTTTCTTACCTTTCCTTCTCTCATGTTTGGATCAGATCTACTAGGTCTGGCAAATTCCAAAATATGTACATCATGTGCTTGTCAGCTACCATGTTACTTCAAAGAGCTGTCACAGTAGCTGGCAAAGAATTCTGAGTAGGAACATAACCCATTAAAATGGGAACATTGAGCTATTTTAAGACTAAGCACATACCTTTACATTCAATGACTTCTTCAAGAAGAAGCTTCTCAATTTACAAAATTAGAAGACAACTTTATTAAATGACAAAATCAACAAAAAAGTCCTCTAAACATCATACTTCATAACAGAATAGTGGAAGCTGCTAGGCCTCATATAACACACTTAGGGAAACACTGATTGAACTCTGCCTCTGATGCCATTATGTAAGAATCAGCTGTTGCCACTTAAAACAAATCCCTTCTTCAATGATGTGTCCAGCTGACCAATTCATAATGTAGCTATAAATGTGGGTTCAGCTGTTTAGAAATATTAATTGTAATTGTTTTTTCTTAATGCAACTAGAAAAAGCTACAGGTGTCTTACCCTGCCCAGTTTTAACATCTACCTAGCATTTGTAAAGATTCTCATGAATGAGGACTTCTTGTTTTGATATCCAACTCAACCTGTGATTCTAAAGGCCTCCATTCATCAGTTCTTGCAATGAGGTTGGGTTGCCATTGCTGTTTTATTAGTTGCCCTAAAGATATTTGAGGAATGAGGGAAAAATCATCTCAATTAACTGGTCTGTAAAAAGACATCTAATTTGAGGTGGTCCTGATTGATCGCAGTCAAAATGCAGGACAAAAGGAGTGGCACAGTCCTTTACACACATAGCCATTTCAAACTGCATTGCTATACCTCTGCCACTAGGTGGCCAGGGACAGAACCCAGCCCTACAGGATTGTCCCTGGAATGACTAGCAATTAAATTGAATGAGCCCATATTAATTTACAGACATTGTCCTGTGAAAAAGTGTTAGAACAGTTTATCTTGTGTACTTCACAGGTACTTAAAGTGGAGCAACTGATGTACCTCTGTAGGATCCTGAGACAAAAAGGTTCTTCTGGGAGAAATGCAATGTCTGTTTACACCCCTAGCGACTAAAACCCTAACTACTGCATCACAAACCGTTTTGATGGATGGTTTCAGTCACTATGGAGCTTTGACAGCGGAAGAGATGCCAGGGGAAATGTACCTGATGAGGCTGTTAAAGCTGTACACTTTATTAAATACAAGTCCAACAACACATGCAAATCACTGTTTTATGTGAGGCAATGGGCACCCAAGAGCAGCAGTTTCCACTTCCAAAATGAAGTGTAATAGCCTTCAGGTACCAAAGTTTCAGATAATTAATTTGAGTTCAGAGAAGGGACCACAGGTGCCAACTTTGGTTTCCCTTGCTAAATTAGTCACTGATCAACACTAGCCTGCTCTGAAAGCTCTTCTTCAAGGGAGGAGCTGAATTTTCCACTAGAGATCACAACTCCAGGGTGGTCCTGAACAGGTACAGGAGCTTGTGAGCACCCTGTTCTTCCTATATAGTAAATAAGAAAGCACCTTGGGAAGTCTGGTTATGGAAAGGTTTAAGAACCATTAGAATATATATTTTATACAACATTTGCTTTTTACATTCTTATTTTAAAGTGTACAGAGATGATTTAGCAATTCAGTAAGCAAAGGAATCTATAATTCCCTTTGCAGTATGCCTAACAGAAAATTAGAATAATTGTTTGTACATGTTTGGTGACACTGATCCTTCAAAAGTACAATTACAAAATCTAAATTACAATTAACTTATAAAGGATTTATATACCTTGTCTGCCTTAGACCAATATGGCTATAACCAAACTCCGCAAAGGATTTATACACTATTTTATTAGCGCTAAATACAAGCTGGGAACGTTTTTATTTCACTTTGACTTTCCTAACTTAGTAGTAAGAAATGTACTGTTATGACAGAGACTGAATGAAACCATCACTGAAAACAGGGGTGGGGAATTATTTGGGCCCACAGGCCATATAGGGATTTTTGGTGAGCTACTATAGCTGGGTCAGCACACCTCTCCCCCACACAACAGCTCACCAAAATCCCTAAGCGGCCCCATCCTGTCTGCCTGGCCGTACAACCTGCCTGCAGTGGGGTGACATCATGGAGCCAAGACCTAGGGCAGAGCTGGTGCCTGCTGCAAGGGTGTGCGGGCAGCAGATAACAGCTCAGCTCTGCTCTTGCCTGGAATGGGGCTGCAGGTGAGCGGGGAGTGGCATCCAGGAACAGGATGGATGGGTGGGCAGGTGCCCCATGATTCCAGCCTCAGCACCTGTGTATCCCAGCCTCAGCACTCCTGGATGCCACTCACCCAGATCTCAGCTCTGGCCCCATCCCAGCTGAGCACAGAGCAGAGCTGTGATCTGCCTACACATCCCTGTGATGGGTGCTGGCTCTGTAGGCAGGAGCATGCAAGGAGCAGATTGCAGCTCTGCTTCACGATTGGCCAAAATGGGTCTGTGGGTGGGCAGGGAGTGGCATCCAGGAGTGGAATGGGTAGGCGGGCAGGGCCAACGCTGGGATCGTGGGGCTCTGGCCCTGTGTTGTCACCACCCTGTGGTCTCAGCCCCAGCTCTGCCTGCCCGTCCCACTCCCAGATGCCACTCCCCCAAATCCCAGCCCTAGCTCTAGTCCCATTCTGGCCACTGCCTGCACGCCACCTGTGATGGGCACCAGTTCTGTGGGCAGGGTTATGCAGGCAGCAGATCATGCCTCTGTCCTGGGTCCCAGCCCCACACTAACTGCTTCACGATTCTGGGGTTTTCATGGAAACCAGCTGGGACCAGCACAGCCGGGACACACAGCTAGGCTGATGGGATAAGGCCATGGGTGGGCAGGGAACTGCATCCAGGGCTTGGTCTGGGATCCTGGCGTGGTAACTGCAGGGCTGGGGCTAGGGCCAGGCCACAATCCATTCTCTGCACACCCCTGCCCGCAGAACCCACATGCATCACAGGGGCATGCAGGTAGTGGATCGTGGCCACAGCCCCACACTGTCACTGCCCCGTGATCCCAGCCTCATCTGCCCATCTTGCTCTGGAACATCACTTCATGCCTGCCCCCAGCCCCATCCCATCCACCCTGTCCTCATGGGTCCCACCCTGGCGGCAGCTATGAGGGAGACTCACTGGGGTGCCCAGGCAGTGGGGCTGGATCCAGTGGTGGCAGCAGCCAGGAGCTGGTGCTGCTGGGAAGCAAATCCAGGTGTCACGCTGCTCTGCCTCTCTGGGCACCTGGGGGCAGCAGGACTGGCAGTGCCACGGCCTAGGCTGCCGCCTATGCATGGGTTGGGCAGGATCAAGGAACCTGTTGCAGGCCAGAAGATCCCTTGGCAAGCTGGATCCAGCCCGTGGGTAGTATTTTGCCCACCCCTGGTCTAAAAGCACCCTCCAACTGTGGATGCACATAATAAGCAGTCAAGCTACTTCTAGGAGGAGAGTACATGAAACACTACAACTCACCACCAAAACACAAGTTGCATGCAAGTCCAGTCAGACACTGAGCCACATAAGCAAAGAAATTTTAGAACCCTGTCTGATGGAGGCATGTACTCTTGTCAGATGAAATACCAAAAAGCAGCCAAAGAAGCTAAGCAGCTAATGGCAAGTTAAGCACTGAAAGTGTGATCCTGGGAGAAAAGAAAAGAGGGAGATTTGGGGACTGGAGATTTGCTGGCTGGAGAAAGCTTTGGAATTTTCAGCAAAGGAACTGCCTTGTGCTTGATTCCTATTGTGCGTGTGGGAAACAGTACTTGGGATCAATGGTTTGCAATTGAACAGGATTCCAACAAAGAAATACTTCCCATCAGCGTTTTTTTTCCTAATGGAAACAAACTAGAAGAACCTGAATATTTGGCTAATGGCTGAGGACAAAAGGGTAACAATATTTTTTTCTCTGTGTCTAAGAAGAAAAATTCATACAGGCCTTTAAAAATGCACTAAATCTTTTATAAACTATACCTTTTTAACTTCCAAAGCACATTCCATCAAAGCTTTCACGCTTCCAACTTCACGCAAAGTCTTTTTACTGTTGACATCTGCTCTCCAGGACAAATTCCTCAAAACACTTGCAATGACCTGCAAACATAAAAGGAAAATACATCTCAACATACTGAGTTTTTCACCAGATGATATGATGACCCTTTCCCTTTACAGCTTCTGAATGGAAGCAACAAGTTTGGAGTTCTTTTTCAAACCACTGGGCTAGCTTGTACATTAAAAGTTTGCTCCTTTTTAGTGTCCCTCTAAAGTGGGTTTATAGCTCAACAAAAATATATGCATCAACAAATATTTTCTTTTGTCTTTTGGGTACGAGGAAGAAAAACGTAGAACTGGAATGATCCACTAGTTGAGAAACTGAATGGTAGCTAAGAGTTCTACTCCACAGTATGCTTTCTCTGACAGCAGCTAGTACTCAGGAATGGAAGAACCCCTACAGTAGACAGTTGCAGAATAACCTAACCCAGCCAATTTGTAGGTAATTATGCCCTGAACCATGAGAACCTATATCCCTTATAAAACAGACAGGTTAGCATTTAACTATGGATGGCCTAATTATCCATAAAAGTGCATAATCCTTATTTGAACTTCACTGGGTCCTGAACATCAGTGCTATTTTGCAGGAACAATTTCTAAGGTTAATTATTTGCAGTTTAAAATTTATTTTTCATCTCCCTATTCTTGTGTAAGGGCAAACAGGAGTACACAATTTGTGCCTTTTACCATTCTAATGTGCTTATACAACTATCATGTCTTCATTTCTGTCTTTCCTATAATGAACAGTCCCCTTTTCAATTTCTCTTTAAATACCTCTCATCTATTTCCTCTCATCAATTTCTATTTAAATACCTCTCATCTATGCTCCTTACATTTCTGCTGTTGTTCTTCCCACTGAGAATATATTCTATACAGAACTATATCTAGTATTCCAGGTGTAGGCATTAAATAGTTTCAACATTATTTTCTAACCATTTTAATAGCTTTTAAACTATTGTTTTTAAACTACTGCTTCACAGTTTGCTTTTAACTACTGTTGTTTACCTTTTAAACTATTGCTTCATAATGAGCAGAATCTTCCATTGAACTGTTCCTGCAATAAGCATCAAGACCTTTTCTCCTGAGTGCTTATAGCTGGTTAACTCAAGAACGTGTAAGAATATTTTAATTTGTTTCTTCCAACAAGCCTTACCCTGAATTTGTCATAGGCACACATTCTTTGATTTGATATATACTTCCATTTCCTCATAATCTTCTCTACTTTTGATTACTTAATTTAACTAATTCTAAAGATGTTGGCACCATGCTATTCACCTTCCTTTCCAGATTATTAATCCATACATTTAACATCTGTCCTAATATTAAATCAGAGGCTCCCCACAGTTATCTTTCATGGTCTCTTATCTACTGTCTCATTTATGATTATTTAGCTTCAAAGATCTCTTTAAAGTTTAACTCAATTTATCTTTAGCAGTGCTCCTTCATCCATTGTTTTGTTGTTTTTCCTTTCTAAAAACTGTGATGATTTGTTCTTTTATATGTTTATCAAAGTGGTTTTCAATTCTATTTTTACTTGCAATGTCAAGTAGTTTTCATGGTACTGAAGTAAGATTTCTTGGTCAAACTCTCAGGATCATTCGAAATGCTCTTTTAAAGAAATGTCTATTTAAAAATCTTTAAAAAAATTCTTTATGGAGGGTCAAGACACTGGACTAGATGCCTTGGTGCAGCATGGACACTTTATAACATACTGTTTGTAGAACAACCTAATCCAGTATAAGGTAGAATATCCCTTGAAGTAGAGACTCTGCAGCCGCTATTTACTTTCTTTCACCATATGGGAAATGTCAGAGAAGAAATATGCTTAAAATACCCCCAACTGCAATCTCAGTCCCTTGGGACCATAAAGCATAAGAAAAGGCATGAAGTCAACTATGAATGGAGGAAGAGAAGAGAGTGTTAAGAACAGATGAGTGGGAGGAATGTAAGAAATTAGAGAAGAACATAATGCAAGCACAAATGCAAAGTTTCACTATGATGTGATGGAAGACAGAGCAAATCAGTGAAATGATTCTTGGAGGGGAATGTTTCCTTCTCAAAGGAAAAAAAAAAAGTTACCTGCTGCAAGTCTTCACTCTCAGATTTTAACTGGGCAACGAGAGCTCTCATGCAGCCCTTCATAGAACACAATGTAGCCTTTCAGGGGAAAAAAGGGAAGAGGCTATTAAAATATACAAAATGACAGATGTACACAGTTCTCACATAATAAACTAGTCACCCCTGCTGATTTGGGTTAAAAAATAGCTCAATGTTACTGGTTTTTCAGTTAGACATTTAATTTAAATTCTCCAACCACTTAAAACTTGAGTATGATTTTCAGGCTCAATTCTGAGGAGGCAGGAGCAGCATAGATCTACTAATCAATGATTCAAATTTTATCTTTCTAATAATGGGTCCAGGACCAGACATGGACTAGTCTTGAGCTCATTCTTTATATGTCATTTGTTTGCTAAATCTGAGAAGATAATTACTTATTATCTACTTAAATTTTACTCCAATGAGTATGTTGTTTACTCCTGATCATATATTTTTTTTTAATTAAAAGCTTATTTTGTTCTGCATCCAAGAACACTTTGAATCATTTAATCTTGGCCTGAATAAAAAAAATCATTCCTTACATCAGAGGAAAAATGAGATTATTAACAACTATCAACTTAAAAACATTATATCACTTGCACAAGTAATTAATTTGATAAGATATAGTGCAGAAAAACAGTCAAATGTATTAAAAATACTATTTTCATAACAGTTGCACTATTCTTTGGCTTGACAACTAGAATTACAATACTCTGTATCTGGGTCTGTGTGGTAAACTCAAATCTATGGGGCTAGAAAAACTTTGCATAATTTTCCAAGAGAGGTGTGTAATTTAGTATCAATTAAGTCTTTGTTTGGGAATATGGACTATATTAATTCATACCAAAAAACAAGACAAAAAATCCAAACAAACAAAAGATTCTGATCCCTAATTTAAAGGTCAACTTGAACCCAACAATTTTTGGAACAGAAGTGCTATTACATTTTTTAATGGAATGTTTAGTCACTGGTGTTATAGCCTACCAATGAAACATCACAGCTGTCCCGTGCCCCTTCTATAAACTTGCCTTGGGGATTAACCATCACCCTCTCACTTTTCTGACTCAAATAAAATTATGTTATAAAATGTAAAATTATGTACAAAACTAATTTCAAAATATACCTTGTTTGCCACATCTCCAAAAGTCAAGTTTGTCAAAGCCATTCCCGCATACCGTCTTAATGTAACACTGTAGTGGTCATTTGTTAGCCCATACATTTCACAATCCACTTGCAACAGTTCTGCGATGGCTTGTAAACCTCCTATACGATAAAAATTATAATTAAAGGCAATACTAGAAGTGTACCATCTACCATCTTGTACCATCTACACTTTTCCCAGAGCCTGACGAAGAGACTTTGATCCCGAAAGCTTGCAGAAAAGGACAATTTTCTTGCCATTTTCCAGTTGGTCTAATAAAAGGTATCATTTTGGAACCAAGAGTTCTAGTTTTTTGTATGTCTTTTTGTCTCAGACCAACACAGCTACCAAGTACACCCCTGATACTAGAAGTGTGGCATTTTTGGTCTTCCTTCTCCAAAGTAGAGACAACACAAAAATAGCTGTACAAAATAACGCACCAAAAATGGTGCAAAATAATGTCAATAAAAGTACATACATATTTTAAGCAGAACTGATAAGAACATCTATAGCTGAAACTGCCTAAAAATTTCTGCTTTAAGACTCAGTTTTTAGCTGATCAAAAAAATATCAAATGTATACCATTCAATAAGATTTTTTCCATTCCATGCATCTGTCTCTGGGTGATTTGTTTTGGGAGAGCACGGTACTTTCATAAATGGCGTGGCTACTTCTGAGAACAAAATATGGACTAAATACATTTTTTAATAACCATTTCACTGGCAAGCATACCACCATGTTTTGGAATTTAAAATTGGTTGAGGCAGGGGTGAAAAAGCTCACACTCTGCTAGTACAGTTGTGACTTTCGTTGTCCCTGTGAAAATCTTCCAAAATCTAGCTAAGTTCCTAAAAATCTAGTTAGCATATGCTCAGTAGAGCCTTTTATAGATATCTAAATATTTAATCTGTACTGAGCATTCCCTATTCCCAAAAAGCTCTTACATGGCAACCAGACTGCCTTATGGGGACAGTGATGACCAGCTTCCTAGGTGTGCAACAGCTCAGCAGGACTAGTAACACTGTTTCTCCTCCCGTTTGCCAGGGGATACCTCTTCTTGGTTGTCAATGCCTCTCTATTTATTCCCAAGCAGTAAAAAGCAAACAGAAGAAGAACCTGGACTCAAAATGCAGAGGAGCATGCCCCAGGTTGGATTTGGCCCGCAAAGAGTCTCGCAGCCTGGATCCAGCCCGGGGCTCCAGGTGAGTTTGCCACCAGCTTTAACTAAAGTGTTAGAGGTGTGTACTGTGGATCTAAGGATTCTAATAGTGCAATGATCTATGTGGATGGCCAACATACTTCCACCTGATGGATCTTATACTTTTTTCAGCTTGTTTTTTAAAGCCTTAAGCCCAAAGCAACTACGTTAAAATTATTTTGTTTGCAAAGTCAAGCACTCACAAATTACAAAATGGCAGATACAAGGTCATCTTTGCAATTCTAATTCAGCCCTCTTGTTTGTGTAAATTATGATTTTTTAAAATTATATGGGCATGTATTTCTTGCTTAGGATCTCCCCTGCCACAGTCAGGTCACTAGATGAACCACATCCTAGGAATGAATTAAGGTTGTCTAATGAGGCCCATTGCCTCATTTGTTGCAGAAGCTGGAAGATGTATAATGAACAAGGCAGGGGACAGCAAGAAGAGGAAGAACAGTCCAATGGCTTAGGCATAGGAATGTCACCCTGGAACAGAGTGCCATCTCTGTCACAGAGTTCCTAACATGATGCTGGGAAAGTCATATACGCAAAAAGTTTTTTTAATAGGCAAGGCATTAAAAGCCAGATCCAAATAATTCTCAGAGGTGCCACTATTTAGGCATTGAAAAGTCTGAATTTAGGCTTCTTGCCCCAGAAAGGTGATCCAAATTGCTTGTATTTGGCAATGGACAGATAGCTGCCTCCAAAAAGCAATCCAAAGCACCTAGGAACTAGCCAATAAGAATTCCCGGCACAAGAATGTATCAGAGTTCCTGCTCATCGTATACTATGGAGCAAACATTGTGGAAATACCAGGGAGGATATTCATGATTTTTGCAATAAATACAGGCTTTGGAGTATGCACATTAAAGTAAGCTTTGGACCACTGGTTGAAAAAAAATGAAATACTGAAAATAATTCTCCATCCAGGAAGCACTCCTATATTCTGTACTGTTTTTTTTCCTCAGTCTACTGAAAACAAGCTATCCCATGCACACTTTCTCTAAGAAACATGTGCCTAAGTAATTTTAAGTACAATTTTTTCAGTTTTAAATCATGTACAAGATAAAGTTGCCTGCTAAAAGCATATTGGGTTAGACTCACAAGATAAAGTTGCCTGCTAAAAGCATATTGGCTGAGACTCCCAGCCACAATGCAGCTGCTTTGTATCCATCTACCTAGAGGATCTGAGCAATGGAGAATTCTCCAAGCCTGCGAAAGTCCTTCAAGGGTCTAGGGCTGCCAGCCAGTTCCTGTAACACTTCCTCTCCCAAGATCCAACACATAAAGGAGTTTGGCGGAACAAATGGGAAACTGGTCTGGATGCCATATCACGCTGATCCCCTGCTACTACACAGTGCCCCCAGACCAGTGACAGCCAGTATAACAGAGACCTCCCTCTTCACTTCTTTATCAATCTTGCACTGGATATTGACCTGATATTCACTGGTCATCCTTGCTTCCACCCCCTGTGTACATCAAGCATACAGTTCAGAGAATTTGGGCCATCAGTTCATTTTAAGAAAGTCATTTATGCTTACTGTAACAGTTGTTCTTTGGGATGTATTATGCACATAATATTATGCACATGTATTATTCCACATACAGGTACACGTGCACCTCATATCTAATCAGAGACTTCTAGTTATGGTCCCTACAAAGGTAGCATATGTGCCCTTGCCTATCTTTATGCCTCTGGCTGGGGACAGCACTGTCCTCATGTGGGCTCTCAATGAGAGATCTGACTTGGATGCTCTAGGCCAGAGCATGGCATGAGAAGATTTTTTGCTTGGCTCACAGGCCTCAGGGCAGACAGTGGGAGAACCACAAGGGGCAGCCCCTGCCCCTTCCTCACTGTCCACCAAGGTGCACATGCACCTGTAACCAGTAACAAGCCGGGCCGGGACTCCACAGACCCTGGTGCAGCTGCTAGCAGCCTCCCTGCCACCTGCTGCGAACAGCCTGGGCTCCATGGTGGGAGGCAGGACCCTGTCCAGAACCTGAACCGGCTGTGGGGGAGCTGGGAAGCTGCAAGCAGCTGCACTGAAATCTGCAGAGCCCCAGCCTGGCTTGTTGCTGGTGGTGGGTGCACGCATTCCTTGGGGCAGATGGTGGGGAAGGGGCTGGGGCTGTGCTGCCACAACACGAATAGGGCTTCTCAGGGCTCCCCAACTGTCCATCAATGGCATGCTGACACCTTACAAGTCAAGGCTGTGGGTGTTTCTGGCACTCTGACCCCTGCTCCAGGCACTCATGCATTTGACTGAAATATGTACATGTACCAGTTATCTCTAAGTAGAGGTGTTACAGAACAAAGTAAATAAATGTGGGTACATCTAAATATGAGCTTTACTGCAGAGCTGATTAATTAGCTCCAAAGTAAAACATCACTGTCTACACATGTGCCCGCGTTAGGGCACATTAAATCAACTAACTCCGTGGTAGGATAGTACTATCCTACAGTGGAGTAGTTATGTGTGCTGAAACGCATGTATAGACAGTGACTGTGGCTGACTGGGGCATGAGAGTGCTACAGTGCGGGGGCTGCCTGCCAGCCAACTCCATGCTGTAGCACCTTTGTGCCCCAGCCGGGCCCTCCACAGCATGCTAAACCAGGGTGGAGCAGCCCTGGGCTGGCAGGCTGCTGCCCACCCCCGCCCCTCACAACAGGCCAGGTGTGGGCAACGTGCTGTGGTCTTGAATGCACATTGAAATGTTGCGCCTGGGAGCAATAACTCCAGCACAAACTGCACCAGAGTTTATTGCTACACGTTAATTGCACATGTAGATGCACCCTGTTTGTCCTAAAATACACCATTAAATAATGGTGTATGTTCTTTGCACAGTCTGAACTTGCTGCAAACTGGAGCACTATGCATGCCAAGCCACT